ATGTACCCTGACCATAATTTTTTAACTATTACAAACATATTTTTTACAATTTGGTTCCATTTGTTCATTGCTAGATGAATATATAAAAATGATCGACTTTTGTATATTCAACCTGTATCCCATGGCTTTGTAAAGTCTCATATAAGTTGAAAGAGTTCTTTTGTGGATGTTTGGAGAATTTCAACATGGACAGCATGTTGACTGTGAATAAGATCTGTTTTCTTTCTTTTCCAATCTGTATGCCTTTTATTTCCATTTCTTGCCTGATTGTGCCAGTATGGTGTTAGTTAAATATGTGTGATGATTGGGGACCTCCTTGCCTTGTTTCTGTTTTAGAGCAAAAACAGTCTGTAAATATGGTATTCCCTGTAGTTATTTTGGAAATGCCCTATCTCAGTAAGGGACATCTTTATTTCTGGTTTACAGAGAATTTTTGATATGAAAGAATGTTGAGGTTTTTTCACATGATCAATTGATTTTAAATTGAAACAGCCTTGAATTCTGGGATAAAATCTATTTAGTTATGTGTAGTCGTATTTCACTGAATTTTAGTCTGATGTTTTCATATTTAAGTTCATGACGATTAGCTGTGGCTTTTCTTTTTTTTTTTTTTGGTCTGTTTTTCTGCTATTGGTGTCAGTAATCCTGGCATCATTTTATGAGTTTGGAAGTATTCTGTTTTCTCAAAGAGATAATGTAACTTGCTTTTTTTTTTTTTTTTCTTTATAGGTTTGGTAGAATATACTATTAAAGCCTGCTGAGTAGATTTTATTGAATTGTAGTGAATTAGAAATTGACAGTGATTATTATTTGTTTGATATCCTTTTTAGGTCTCCTCATTCTTTTTTGGTTATTATTGGTGGTGGTGGGCAGGTTTGCTGGAGGTCTGGCAGTTTTATCTTCTTTTTCAAAGAAGTAACTTTTGATTTAAAAGTTAATCTGTGTTGCTTTCTTATTTCAAGATCACTGATTTCTTCTCTTTTACTGCTTCTATTTTTTTATTTACTTTGGATTTAATTTGTTTTTTTCAGAAAATTGAGGCTTAGAGAATTGATTTATCTTTCTAATTCCTATATATAAGCATTTTTTTTAAAGATTTATTTATTTATTCATACAGAGCTAGGGTACAGGCCAGAGATGCGGAGGGTGAGAGGATTCACCAGGGACAGAGCAGGGAGCAGAACAGGCAGATTGACAAAGTACACTGCTGAGGGGAGCAGCGGGCGTGTCAGGAGAGGTCTGCCTCGCCATGTGGATCTCCTCCAGAGCAGGCAGGGATCGAACTCATGAGGAAGTGGCTTAAGCTTCTTAGTGCTGTGCTTTAACCCACTGCGCCACCAGGGACGGCCCTATATAAGCATTTAATCACAGAAATTTCCTTCAAAGAACTGTATTACATACATAGCAAAATTTTGATTCTTGAATCTTCTTACTTTTATCAAAATGTTTTCTGATTTCCAAAAATGACTTCCTTTTTGGTTCATTTATTACTCTTTATTAATGTGGCCAGATTTTTTTTAAGCTTTATTTATTTGTGCATACAGAACTGAGGAATAGGCCAGAGGTGCAGGGGTGGTGAGAGGATTCACCAGAATGGGAAGCAGAACAGACAGAGCGTCTAAATACACTGCTGAAGGGAACAACGGGCGGGTCAGGAGAGGTCTGCCGCGCCATGTGGGTCACCTTCTGGCCAGGGATCGAACTGGTGCTGCAGTGGCTTTAGCTTCTTAGTGCTGCATTTACCAGCCTTGCCAGCAGGGAGGACCCAAACGCCAGATGTTTTAACAATTTCTTTGTTACTTATTTTGGTTTGATTCCATTATGGTCAAAGAATACAATGCTCAAAGAACTGTGTGGTTGCAGTTCTTTTAAATTTTAGGAATGGTTTTATTCCTTACTTTACCTTTATAATTTTTTCAGATTAATTTATTTACAAATAAGGCATGCACTAGGCCATGCATTCTGCTCTCCAGGAAAGTTTCCCATCTGTGTTTAATATTATTGTTAATCTTTTCTTACTGGATTGAGATGTTTACAGAGTTGTTAGTGTTCAATTGAAATTTTACCTTCTGTTATCTGGAAGCCATTCTAATTGTGTCAGTTCTTGAACTCATGAATTTTTAAAGATTTATTTGTATTTATTTGTGCATAGAAGAACTAGGGTGTAGGCCAGAGGTGCCTGGGGGTGAGAGAATTAACCAGAGACAAAATGGGGAGCAGAACAGGTAGATCTACTAAAATACACAGCTGAGGGGAGCAGTAGGTAAAACAGGAGAGGTCTGGTGCCCCACGTGGGTCAGCTACATGGCCACAGATTGAACTCATGCTGCAGTGACTGATGATAGATAGCTTGATAGCATGAAGACTTTAACCTCTACTCCACCATGGAGACTTTAACCTCTACTCTTTAGCTATGGAGATTTACTGTATAGAGTAAATTAAGTTTAAGATCTAGAATTAACTCTGGAGATAGTTGAGGCCTGTGATTGCTCAAGGAGGCGAAGCCTTAGCTATTGAATAAAGGCATAGCATTTAATAACCAGTGATCTTTGATGCTGTGTTGTCATCCTAATGTTTGCAGGACACAGTTTAACCTCTTCATATTTTAAAAAGAAATGGTTTATGGTTATCTAGAAAGATGCTGTCTAGATTCAGGATTCTGTTACAAATAATTGGTTGATGTCTGCAGATTCTTTTTGTCCAGAGGATTTTTTTTTTCATGGAGGAGGTAACTTCTTGAATTCTACAGTGTCGTCATTCTTATATTAGATCACCTAACATCTCATCACATATAGGAAGGAGTCTTAGAACATTTTAGTTGGAAACATCCTAGTTACTAAATTTGGAGATGTTTTAATGTATAAGGAAATTCTTCTGATAGTAGTTTTAACAATTTTATAGTTTAGGACCTAGTATTGTTTGGGATTCCTTGTATTTGTGACTGAAATTCTACTAAGCCAAGGTAAACTTTTCCTCTGGAAACTTTGACAATTTTCACTTGACTTTCAATTTTTTCTTCCTTTCACCATCAATTACATCCTGTCAGTTTTACTCTAATAAAAGTTTTCACTTTTATTTTTGTGAAATAACAGGTCATTTTGTTGCTCTTTCTCCTTCCCCCACCATTTATTTATTTATTTGTTTTATTTTATTTTATTTTACCAATGACTAAAATTGTATTCTGAAGGATCTGGTATCTATAGAATTAGGATTAATGAGAGCATAGTGACATCCATGTAAATAAGAACATTTTGTTACTGTCCATGTGCAGTTTTTAGATAGGTCCCCTTGAAAGTTCAGAGAAAGGACATACAGTAGATACTGTGGTTGCCTTGGAGCATCTAGAACCTTTGGTGTTTTAGCCATTGTGGGACTTTGACTCCACTAGTGCTTATAATTTTCAAGTATCCTTATCTAAACTTCTACAGTTTTAGGAGACAACTCTTGTGTTTTATCTAGACATCAGAAATATGTTCATTTCCAGCTTGTTTAATTCTTACAGCTTCCTGGGACTGTCTGATCATATGTCAAATATTTTCTAAATGGACAGTTTTCTTGCTTAATTTATTTTCATTAAATATTCAGGTTTGTGCCAGTATCTAGTAACAGGCTAATATATTCTTTGCTTCAGCTGTTGGATAGAACCAAGAATACTACTTTATTTTTTGAAGTCTGTTTTTTTTTTTTATCTTTATTTAGTTGTAGTTTTGACTCTTTGTTATGTATAACCTTACATGCAAACCTACTAAAACTGATGTATTGCTGGCGGGAAAAGCAATAAGGGACTAACATGATGGCACATGGGTGAATTGGTGGTGGAAATTCTGTGGGAACTATAACTGATGTAAAATTTATACAAATAAAGAAATTGTTTATCAATAAATAAATAGTTTCTCTGAAAAAAAGTTTTAAAATGCTGATGTGTTGTACTTTCCTCTAGTTTTCTTTTAATGTTACACAGTTGTATTACTTAAATCTTCTTTTTGACCTTGCTGCTTTTTTCTCTATCTGAAGGACTAACAATTGAAGTCATTGATAAGATCTATAGCCCAGTGCAATTGTATCTAGCAAATATCTGTCTTCCTCAAGCTGGAGTTTTAATTTAACTTGGAGTTTGGAGTATTAATTTAACTTCCATAGATCTGGCTTATGACCTTGTAACTTTAGTGTGATTTTAATATTTGAAAAACCCAGAGGGAAGGGTGGCTCCCATAGAAGACAGAAAAATTCAAGGATGGTTAAGTATCAGAAAGTTAATTTTTTTTGAGATTATTTAAAAACTAATGTTTTATTTTACAGATCTAGCATATGAAATAAAAGAGATGTTGACTGTTAATTCATTTGTTGTCTCCTAATTTTATGAACCCCTCAAATATTTATTGATTTTTAACATGTTAAAAGTTTCTCATAATGGTCAGTGTCATTCTAAACCAGCTTCGCCCCCCCCCCTTTTTACTAAGGGAAGTGCAAGATTTAGGATCGTAATGCAACTTTATGTAAAAAGCAGACTTTCCTTCAGAAGGTGGGTACCTTGACATAGCATGACACATAGAGACCACTTGGCTGATACTGTGAGTCTGTGGGGGGGGGGGCATGGTCCTTAGAGACCTGACAGTCATTGACCTAAGTACGGAGTAATCAAGTGACCTTTCCTACAATACGAGGTAGGGAGTACGCTCAAAAGTGCACAATTCTTATACAGTATTAGTTGTATTAAATGGATGTATACTGTTTCCCACCATAAATTCAGGGTGTTTTAAATACATTCTGAGTATGTCTGCAAATAATTTATATATGTTCTAACTTTTTTGAGTATTATAAATTCACTTTCAGTTTGTGCCATCCTCACTGAAGCAAAACTGTGTCTTAGATGCATTCTCTCTCCAGACTGACCAATCCTGTAGAAAAATATAATTGAGAAAGCTTATATGTTACGAGGAAACTAAGATAAGATGACATGCTGGCTTTGTTTTGAGTCTTGATTTTAATGTTATTTATAGGTATTCCTTTAGAAATGAGTTGCACAATTGAGAAGGCACTTGCTGATGCCAAAGCTCTTGTGGAAAGATTGAAAGACCATGATGAGGCAGCAGAGTCTCTGATCGAGCAAACCACAGCTCTCAACAAGCGGGTAGAAGCCATGAAGCAGGTTCGAGCTTTTCCTTTTTTTCGATGATGCCATTTAAAAATGTGCTTGATTGCACATTCTTACTTAATTGGTATTCAATTTTATTTCATTGTTCTCTAAATTTTTCAAGTAGCTTGACTTGTTTCTGTTTTTGTTGTTTTTTTTTTCTTTCTTAGAAAATATCTTGTCATGGATAATATTTATATATGTAAATATATTTTCTAAAACTTGAAAACTTGCTCACACTTTTCTGACAGATACATATTTGAATTTAGAAAGTATATAAATTTATTGGGTCTTGATTCAGCTAATATCTTTTACAATATAGACATGTATTTAGCGCTGTCTCCTATTTTTATAGGGTAAAATATATTTTTTTCTTTACAGAAAGGCTTAGGTAATGATATTTAACAACAAATTAGTTTTGAAAACAATGCAGGACTATAAATGGTTATACCTTGTGTACTTAACTTCATTTGCATTTGTGTTCTTTTCATTTAATGCTGCCAGTTAAAGAAGAGAGGAAAAGGCTTCACTTGTTCTCCCCACCCTTATGTATAAGAACTTTCCAGTGGACCATGAAATGTAGCTGTTTTAATTCCTCTTCTGATAAAACTTTTCAATTCTGAGTGTTATAAACTCTCTGATACGTGATGGAAATCACGTTCTACTTTCTTGAAACTCAACTTTTGAAAGGAAGTAACTCTGGGATACTGCTTTTGGCACATTCAGAAATAATGAAACAAATGTACAGTGTTTTTAACTGTCACCCTGAGCAGATTTTATACCTCCCTCCCTATCTAGCTTGACTTATAACAAATATTTTAATGTGGAGTTGTTAAAAAGTCTTTACCACACCATCACTATTGGGATAGTTTGACAACCAAATTACAAGCCAGGAATGTTATAATGAATAATATTTATGATGCTAAATGGCTTATTTTGAAATGCCTTTAAAATAAAGGTGTATGCAGTTGTAAGGTTAGATTCCATTTATTTGAAATACAATAATTTTGTATTTCCTTTGCAAATACACTTTTGTTATTACTGAAATATAATTCACATATCATAAATTTACCATTTTGAGCAGTACAGTGATCAACCTTTTATTCACATCCTATACAGCCATAATCACTATCTAGTTCTCAAACATTTCCATTATTTTGAAAGCCCATTTCCAATAGCTGTCACTCCTGGCTCCTGCTTCTCCTGGACCCTGATAACCACCCACCTGTGTATAGAATTGTGTATTTTGGACATTTCATATGAATGGAATCATATAATATGTTGTAGTATGTTTTAGTAACTTTCACTTCTCTTGATAAGTAATATTTCATTATATAGATGCAGAACATTTTGTTTATTCATCTGTTAGTTCATATTGGATTGTTTCAACTCACTGGTTTTATGAATAATACTGCAACAAAATCTGTGTACAAGGTTTTGTGTGGACATATATTTTCAGTTCCATTGGAAATATATCTAGGAATGGAATTGATAGGTGGTACAATTTTGAAGACCTGTAGACTGTTTTCCAAAACAGCTATACCATTTTACATTCTAAATCCACAATCTATGAGAATTACAATGTCTGCAACATTTGGTATTACTTGTTTTTTTAATACATTCATCCTAGTGATTGTGAAGTGGTATCTTACTAGATATTGAATTTCGCTGAGACAATAAAGCATTTCTTCAGATGCTTATTGACCATTTGTATATTTTCTTTAGAGAAATGGGTCTTTAAGGCCTTTTGCCTGTTTTCCCCCCTCTAATTTTATTGGTATATATTTGAGATAGAAGAGTTTGTAAGTTTAATGTGTACAATCTGATTATTTAATAGCATGTACATATCATAAAATGGTTACATCAGAGATTAATTTGCATCACTTCTACCTCATCAACTTTCAATATTGCATATAATACAATATTATGTTCCATAGTAACTATGCTGTACATTAGATTTCCAGAACTTCTTTACCCATCTTTTAATTGAGTTAATTTTCATGTTATTCATATTGTTGAATTGCTCTTTATTCTGGAAACCTTGTTACACATGTATGCAGATAGATGTGGACACACTTTTCAAACATTTCTCGCCACATGTTCTTTTTAATCTTTTATTAGTATCAGGAAGAAATTCAAGAACTTAATGAAGTTGCAAGACATCGACCACGATCCACATTAGTTATGGGAATCCAGCAAGAAAACAGACAAATCAGAGAATTACAACAAGAGAACAAAGGCAAGATATACTATTCTATGTATAGCACATCGAAAGAAAACTTCAGTCTACCACTGTACCATTGACTAGAGACCAGTTAATATTTTCAGTTAATATTTTCAAAAGTGGGAAAGCAGCCCACTGAAGCTAATTTTTGACATTAATTTCTTTCTACTTTATAAACTAAGTCCAACTTTTGTTCTTTGTCTTGTCTACTACTATATTCCTTGCTTTGGTATTGTTAGCCTCTTGCCTGAACTTTCCTGACTGGTCTTCTTCTTCCCAATCTTTTTAATCTTTTCCTCTTCCAGTTCATGTTCAACACAGACATTACATAGAATTTTCAAAACCATCCTGTCACATATTTATTCTTTAAGAATTTCTGTTGTTTTCTTATTCATGGATCTTCAAAGTGAATTCCAGGCCTTTTCTGTCTTTCCATAATTCTCTTCTCCATGAAACTTTTGCTCTTGCCATACACTTTCATACCTTCCTCTTCAGATCACCTTTCCTTCATTTTTCAACTCAAGAAATAAAAGTTTACCTGTAATATGCTTTCCCATTTTCTTCTCTCCACAGACTTGTCTTCTTATGTACTTGAGTAGAGCGCCACTCTGCGTTAATACATTGCATTATAATCCTTTATGTATTTGTTTTCTCTCGACTCCAGGTCCACAGCCTTTTAGTATTCCTAATATATAGAGCATTGTTTGATACTTACTTATTGTTCAGTAAATGTTTAAATGATTCTGAAGAAATGGTCTCTTTAAAAAACTAATACACAACTCCATTTGATGTCACTTTTTTTATTTTTAGTAAAGTTTTACTTGCTATTGATTTACTATATTATATAAACTTCAGTTATAAAGCTACTAACTTACATATGTGCATATACTTCACCATACCTACCACCACCTTCAACTACCAAATTGAACTTTCCCTGGTATCCTTAGTTTCTATGTGACTAGCTTTTTATACATCATGTGTTTTTTTTTTAAATACCCTTTATAAATTGCTTTTTAAAATATGAATGTGGAAGAGACTGTTTTGTGCATCTTTAACATATTTGAATTATATGTACTCTTATTCTTGGTAGAATTACGTACATCTCTAGAAGAACACCAGTCTGCCTTGGAAATTATAATGAGCAAGTATCGGGAGCAAATGTTTAGATTGCTAATGGCTAGCAAAAAAGATGATCCGGGTATAATATTGAAGTTGAAAGAGCAGCACTCCAAGGTAATCCATTCTGTAAATACAATTTGAAGTGGAAAAGAGGGATAATAGGTTAAACTTTTAAAAAATCACAGATATTTAACATATCGAACACTTCATCTTCCTTACATCTTTTGGCTATTCTTTTTTTAAATTTTTCTGTTAAGAATCATTTTCTGTTTGATTTATTTTTCTAACTCCCGTTGTTTCCCAGTAGTTTTAATATACCTTTAAAAAATAAAGTTCATTTGGGATGTGAAGGTAAGTCTCTTTGATTCAAAGTTATCTTTATTAGGTTATCTACTTTTAGAAAATATTTTTTTGAACTGTGTATTAACTTCTGTTACAAAAAGAAAAATTGAAATGCTGGAAACTTATTTAAAAATATGAAATCAACTAAATAAGTTTATTTTCTGGATGGATGAGGCTAATTCCTTCAGACTATAAATAATGCTGAATAGAATGGAAAATCTCAGGGTAGGGGAGAAAAAAAGAATCAACCTATTAAAACTTTGCCTTCTCCAACCAAGTAACATCATTTTAGAGACAGACATGTTTTCTGACTAGAAATAGTATTTTTCCTGCTGTCCATCCTACTCATTGTTACCCTCATATATGTTCCTTTTGTTTATGTCCTGTGTTTGCTACAACTGCCGTGAAAGCAATCCTTTCTCATTAATATTTTATATTATACTGAGTTTTTACTGCTGATGTAAAAGTATTAGAAAAGATTTTGGTAACTAAGCTATTATATAGCCTATATTTTCTATAGTGGATAATTTGATACATTGGATGATCATGAACTGTAATGACTAATATTATTTAAGAAAATGTTTATTTTTCCCAATTATTGAAGTAATTGGTTTCTTTAAAATATTTCTTCCATCTTGGTATTTGTAGGTATTTTTTAATTCTTTTAAAATAAAATACTTAGCATACAGCTTTTTGTATAACAATTTGCATATGAAGAAGTAATAGACTACTCTTATGCCAAATAGTAATATAATAAAATAATATATATATGGATTTAATATTACCTAATTATGCTATTGACCTCCTAACCAAAAGGATAACCTTGAATATTTTAATGACAAGCTTTTGAATATAAAATGTACTATTAGTAAGTCATTATATAAAACATTAAATTTAAGTATATAACAGAGTGGGGTTTATTTAGGTACAAAAATTAATTGACTTAAAAATATTGATAAAATATATTGATAATTGTAATCTTGTGAAATTCCAAATGTTCTTTAGGTTTAGTAACCTAAAAAAATACATTTGTTAAGCTGTAAGGAGAAAAATTCTTAGACAAAAACTTTCTGATAATAAAGATACTGCAGCTTTACCAGTTTTTCCAACTGGTAGCATCTATGAGAGAATCAAAAGTTTTTGAAGACACGTTATATTTTGCCATTTAGTAAAGCTGGTTTATTAATTAGCGTGTCTTCAAGTAGCTGTATATCATCTTTTTTCGTTATGAGATTGAATTCTTCATCTTAGTGCTGATCCTTGCCTTCCATAAAATGACTGTTCAGTTGTTTGTTATTAATTCTAACTAATACATATTAATGTTTGTGGTTTTGATTTTTCCCAAAAAGGAGACATTTTCAACACAATTAAATGTTAATACTTGCACTGGTTAGTTATTATTAATAATAAGATGACCCATTGCATAAATTCTGTTACTTCATCATAGGATCTTGCAGTGTAATGGGAAATGCAAACTAAGCTAATGTAAGTTAGGTTATGGTGAATCCTAAAACAGAGACCTGAATTATTACTAGAGGAATATTAATTACTGCCAGGGAAAAGATGATTAGTTCTCATGAGGAGAGTCTGAGAAGGTATCAAGAAAGAAAATCTATCTAAATTCATCTTTTTTTTTTTTTAAGATTTATTTAATTGTGCTTATAGAACTGGGGTACAGGCTAGAGGTGCAGGGGTGGTGAGAGGATTCACCAAAGACAGAGCAGGGAGCAGAGCAGGCAGATCTACAAAGTACACTGCTGAGGGGAGCAGTGGGAGGGTCAGAAGAGGTCTGCCACGCCATGTGGGTCAGCTCCCTGGCTAGGGAGCTTCATTGGCTTGAGAGAACTTCATAATGCAGTGCTTTAACCCCTTCCGCTACCTGTGAGAGCCCTAAATTCATCTTTTAATTATTGATGGGAGGGCTTAATAAACAGAAGTGGTTGAATAGAAAACCTTGTGTGAATAAGGTGCAGAAGTCTGAAATTCCAGATTGTGTTTAGGTGTTGGTGCTCTGATATGCCCAAAATATATGATAACACACATTTGATAATATGATAGCAAGCATTTGATAACACATTTAAGATAATTTAATTACACATGACAAGACGAGACTTTTTGAGACTACTGTGACATAGAATGTTGCCTTCAGCTAGTTTTTGAACACACATTTTAAAAGAAAACAATGAAAAGCTTGATAATTGTTAATTTTCATCTAAATACTAGTTTTCATTATTTTTGAACAGATGCCTTTTTGGAAATCTTAAAAAAACAAACATTTCAAAGTTGGCTAACACGCATGAACTAACACTCATTCAGTTTTTAAATTACGGATAAGGTCCGTATTAACATTATAATGACTCTATACTACAGATTGACATGGTACATCGTAACAGCTCCGAAGGATTCTTCCTTGATGCATCTCGACGCATCCTTGAAGCACCTCAACATGGACTGCAGAGGAGGCACTTGGAAGCAAATCAGAATGTACACTAAATAAAACAGTCAACTTTTGGGGTGTGGCTGGAAGGGGGGCACCATTATAAACAGTTACTTTCACTTTGAAGTTTTCTCCCAAAATCAATCAAATAAATGGCTCACATAATGTTTTCACTAGCCATGCAAAAAATATTCAGTGTATTTTTCTGTCATCAATTCTGTATGTATTATCTATATCATACATAACCTGATAATAGCAGGGCTTAAAAGTTGATGAGGCCAGCATTTCATTTTGTTACTCTTATAGTTAATTCCAAAATTTTAGTTAGCTGTAAAGAGTTAATCACTCTTCTGAACTTCAAAAATATTTTCTTGACAGTAATTTTAATTCAATTTCATAAAAACTTTGACTATTAATGTACTGTTTTAATTCCTACTTTGATAATTTGTAGTTCTTTAGTTTGACTTTACCAAAAAAGTAATCTTTCCTTTCATATGATTTTCACACTCTGCATTATGTCTTAACTGTCTTTTTTAACTTAAGTGTGGTAGGTCTTTATTGACTAAAGTCGAAGTAAAGACTAAACAAATTAGTCACTTCAAGGATCATGTTGCTGCTTTTTTCAGGCAAAATATTGGGTATTACTTCTCATGATGATTCTATTAAGAATACACCTTGACCTGAAAACATGAGTAGTATGTTGTTTTTTTTCCTTTTGAAACAAGTTACCTGCTCCCTGTGTAGTCATTGGTGTGCCATTGGACACCAAGTCTGAGGAAACCATTGGCATTGAAAACTTTTGCTCATTGTCCTTAGTTTGCTACTGCAATTAATCTGTACTTAACTTGCTATTAAGCATTATGTCCCCTTCATTCAGAACATGATAATCTGTACTGATAGCATTTTTGCTACCATAATTTAATCCAGGGATATCCAGTAGAGCTTTCCAAAATGATGGAAATGTTCATCTGTGATCTGTGCTGTCCAGTATGGCAGCCATCAGCTATGTGCTTACTGATCACCTGAAGCATAACCAAGGCGCTGAAATGTTTATTTTTAAAAATGATTTTATTTTAATTAGTTTAGGTTTAACACATTAGTCTTTTGTTTTGCCTCCTTCCTATGTACTACCATTATTAGGTTACCCCATTAAAATAACCTAAGGGTCTACATTTTTGCTACTTAAGAAGATAGTAAATGTTTTCTTTTTTTTTTTTTTAAAGATTATTTATACATACAAAAACTAGGGTACAGGCCAGAGGTATGGGGAATGAGAAGATTCACCAGAAAGAGTGGGCAGTAGAACAGGCAGATCTACTGAAACACTGCTGAGGGAGCAGCAGGTGAGACAGGAGGAGTCTGTCACACCATGTGGGTCACCTCCCTGGCTAGGGATCGAACTCATGCTGCAGTGGCTGTGAATTGCTTCATAGTGCTGAGCTTAACCCATTGTGCCACCAGGGAGGGGCCCTAAATGTATTATTTACTAGAAGTGCTCCCATTTTTTTCCTTCATCATATTTCTTCCATACCTTAGTAATTGTGTAGATTTTAAAAATTATTTAAATACTTTTTACAAATAAAGAGGGCATAAAACTAAGAGAGTTAATGTTTGCTTTTATAATTAAGATTTGGCCTTAATATCATAAAATAACCCTTGATTGCCAGAGAAGAATTATAGGAGCTATTCATAGAAAAAGTGCTTATTCTAAAGATCTGTTGATTTTTTTTGTCTGTGCTTTCATTTGACTGTATGCTCCTTGCAGTTGGGGAAAGTGTGAAACAGGCTTCATTTTCCTACCGGCTTGCATAGTGTCTGGCATATTATACAAAAAAGGATGGCGAGATTGGAATAAACATATGATCTTAGCTATGCCAGACAAATGTGGATTTCTGTTTACTGAAACTGTATTTCAACAATTTTCCAGAAGACAATTTAATATCTTAATACTTAGGAGCAGAACACTTTATTTTATTCAAATTATCTGTTGTGTATCAAACATTAAATAATCGGCAAATACAAAGAAGATACAGTTCCTGCTCACAGGGGAGATTAAGTCTAGAAAAGTTCCAGATTGGTTTGAAACTAATTCTAGGCATGGATAACCCAGAAGAAACTTGTACATCATGAAGACTTAAGGGAAATGTGTCAGCAATTTTTATTTTTCCCATTCTCTGCTCCATAGCACATGTAGGTACAAAAAAGAAAAAGTTGCAGATCATTTGTGGTGCTCTGCTTGCTAGTGTGTTCAGTTGCATTGTGCTCCTTGTCCTCAGTTCCTGTCCTGATTTCAGAAGTGCACTGGCGGCCAGACTGCCGCCTTATCAGTATCTGTTAGATGTTGCCTGCATGTTAAATGGTTGCATAAGAATGTTACATTCACATTCAGTGACCACACAGGTTTTATTAAAAGGAGAGAACTCAGGAAAAAAAAAAACAAACAAAAAAAGAAACAATAAAAGGATTTCACTGATTTTCAGCTTTTCTGTTTTCTTTTCCAGGAACTACAAGCACACGTTGATCAAATAACGGAAATGGCAGCAGTGATGAGGAAGGCCATTGAAATTGATGAGCAACAGGGCTGTAAGGAACAGGAACGCATATTTCAGCTGGAGGTAAGTTTTAGATGCAGCTGTATTTGAAAACTGTCTATAGTAAAATTATGCCAAAAAATACTCTTCTCTGAGGTATTGGTAATGCTTTTTCTTAATCTGGAGACTATGTTTAGGATTGTTAAATACAAGATAATTGATGTAGTATAGGATCAGTAATAACTTATGCCAGTCATTGCAAAATTTGATATTTGGTTTCATACTGCTTTTGTATTTATATTTATTAGGTAAAGATACTTCACCTTAGTAATTTTTAAAAATACCTTCATTCATTAGAGCTCACAATGATGCAGGGAAGAAATTTTAATCCACTAATATTCTTTGAGCATCAGTATTTTTCAGGGTACCATAAAAGCTTTTGTCTCATTCATTGTCCTTTATTTTGTAGTAGCACATACATAAGTCATTGATGAATAATTCCACTCAGTACAAATAATTTTTATGCTTTGTAAGTTTCACTTTGAAGTCATGATGGGAAAATTAGTTATAGAAGACCAAGATAGATTCCTCCTTTTAAACCACAGTGTTTTTTATACCAGGAGTAAGCATACTTTCACTAAAGGGCCTGGTAATACTATTATAGTTTCTAAAATGTTACTCTGTCACTGTAATACCAGAGAGCTGCCCTAAGAAGAAAGACTGGGCTCACATACATTCAGGTAACATTGAGTGTGTGATAATAGGCCACTGAAAATTCCTGTTTTATGCCACTGAAACTTAAAAAAAGTGTAAGATGCACAAAAATATGTAAAAATAAACTATTATAAAATTTTTAAAAACAAGGAAAAAAATTACACCAATTATGGAAGCTCATATAGTGCAGAAATGAGGGGTAAACTGCAACTGTTGACAGTTTAATGGCTTTGGCATATCTGAAAAATGAGTGCTTATGTAAATTTTGTCCCTGTAGTTATAGACAAGTTTTTTATATTTTTATTCAACATTATATGTGGATTTTGTGTGTACCCATTTTAAAGACCCATTGGTTTTCTGTCCAAAAAATAATTCCCCACAATTAGATGTATTAATTAATATATTAAAAAAAAAAAGAGTGTAAGACTTGAATACAGAGTGGTAGACAGTAAGTTATGAAAAGTCATTTTAAGGTATCTGAACTTATACAATAACAAAAGTAGAGGGAATGGGAAAAATATTGTTTGCCGATGCTAGATTTTGTCATTTACTTTCCTTATGAAAAATACCAGCCTACTCAACCATCCTTTATGCCTCAAATTCCAGTGAGGAAAGCAAACCAGATAGCTTGTCTGCATTGCATGCTATCATGAAAAGTAGTGAGTACTAAAATACTAAGCATTTCTAGTCCTAGGGTTGTTCACAGGCTCTCTGAGTGTATATAAATATAATCCTAGATATAATTTTCTTCATGCATACTGTAATTGTAAAATTTAAAAAGGGTACTTCCTGAACTTCCACCTATAGTCACACCTGCTTAAATATACTTTGATGGAAGATGTTGAACATGATTCCTTAAGGAATTAGTGGATTCCAGTTGTCAACAGCATATGTTGTCTGGTACATTTCTGCCTCATATCTTCATGTGTTTGGCTTTCTAGGATATGTGTGTACTCTTGTAGCTCTTCATGTCTGCATCTTTGTTTACCTTCCTAACAGCAAGAAAACAGAGGCTTGAGAGAGATACTTCAAATAACTCGAGAATCATTTTTGAACCTGAGGAAAGATGATGTGTCAGAAAGTACTTCTTTGTCAGCATTAGTGACCAGCGGTGATCTGAGTCTGAGGAAGAGCTGAAGAGCTTCCTGCGGACTCCAGACTTCACTGGGACTGGCCGACGAAGTGAATGAAGGGGCAGAAAACTGTCTCATGCTACACTTTTTCTGTTTTTATTATTATTTTTTTTAATATGTACAGTGTACTGCAATGGCATTTTTGAGAGCAACAAAAAACTGCATAGTTAATTGTCATAGACTTTGTTCCTAAACATACTGAAAAATTAAAACTAAGCCTTACTTTGTTAATTGGCAGACAATTGGAGGTTGGTTTTTGTCATGGGTGGTTACTGAAAATACCAAGCACAGTTAGCAATGTTGTTGGCTTCCTAGATAAAACAAGACTTCCCAGTAAACATTTGAGAATTCATAATATTATTCCTTTTAAAGAGTACAAGTTTAGCTACAGTTTTGTGGATGGAGGGTGCTCACTAAATTTTGCCCTTCTTGTGTTGTGTCAGGGTTAACAAATAACTTATGTACATGAGGCTTCAAGCTTTAATGATTATCTGTACTTTCCCTTTAAATTTTTGTCAAAATTCAGTTTTAAGGACTGCAGAAATATTTTGTATGTACCATAAACAAGAGGTAATCTGAACTAACTTGCCATAATTCTCAGTTAACAATTGTCCATAACTTGTTTAAATATATGAAATGTGATTTCAGGAATGAAAGAGAAGGAATACTGCTTTCTAAGAAAGATCTTATAACAGACATGTAGTAGGTTAAACTACTCTTTTGAAAGGATACATTTTGGTTTTAATAATGAAGATGAGGATTTTTTTCTCTTTTCTGGTTGATCTGTAATGACAGTATGCAGCTTAGCTAACAAAGTTGAAATGTTTGAAATAGAAAATTAGATGTGGTAATTTTGAAGTTGGTAATTCCTCTGTCTCATAGACCCCCTTTTTTTTAAAAAAAAAAAAAAAGTAGTTACTCTTAGGAGATACAGGAAGGTAAATTAAAATCAAAAATTTTTTTCTTAATCTATAATTAAGCTCCAGCTGAACCTCGAGGGCAAAAAGTGTATGAACTTAGAAGTATTTCTATGTTTTTGGTAAAATATCACGTTCTGTATGTAAATTTTTAAGGTCACCAGAAACTGAAATATGCTTTTAACACAATTGAAATTTGAAATTTTTCTTACTTTCTGGTGATTATAGGATAAAAGAGCATCAAATACAATAAAATTTATTCACTTACATTAAATACATATAAAAAAATTAGCACAATAGAATACTTTTGAGTATATAACTTGTTAAGTAACTTACTTCATATGATAACTTTTATGTATAATTTCATATATGGGTAAAATTCAAAACTACTTTTCACTTTAGAATTTTTCTAAGGTAGTGGGGTTGATGGGGCAGACTGGGTAGAAAGGGCTAAAGGCCCAAACATTACATTTCTTTTCTCATTCAGAGGCCTTAATTGATATTTTATAAGTAAATGATAGTTCTTGCTTTACTGTTGTTTTTTTGAGGAAGTATCCCTTAGTTTGATGGCACATTCATCCATATAGTTTCTATCCCAAGTCAGAATTTAAAAATATAAGCCACACCATTAAGTGTGAGGCAAATCATTTAGGGCAGCTTATTATAAAACATTACTTGATAAATAATTATTTTTATAATCAATTGAGTTAATTTATTGTTGGTCTTGTTTGGATGTGATTTTAAGGTCTTGGTGTTTAAAGACACTGTTGTGTAAGTTTTCCAGAACCTTAAAGTTAACCTTAGGTTTAACAGAACCTTAAATTTGTTTCAGATAATATGAACTGTAAAGGAGCCTATTTTATCAATAAAGATGAGTGGTTAAAATTGGTATTGTTTCCAAGTTGAGAACTATACTCATGTTTTTTCCTTACATTTATTTTTAGGGTTTTCTATCTTACAAAACATTTAGTGGTAACTAGTATTTAGTGCAGCTAGTACTTGTAACAACAGCTACTGTCTGTTTCTTGGGAATTGACTAGTAACTTACTGCTGGTCAGGAAAATCTTTTTATTATCTGTAGTGTGTTGAATGGTTTCCTTCCAAAGGTATGTACAGTACCTAATCTGCTTACCTCTGAATGTAGGCATGTTTGGAACAAGGATTGTTGCAGATGAAATGATGTCAGATAGAGTATCATCCTGGTCTTAGGGAAGGCTGTAGGTCCAATGTCTAGTGGCTCTTTAAAGGAAACTGGAAACAGGCGGTTGAAAGCCAGCAAAGACAAACTGCAGACTTTTACAGGCTATGGAACCCTAAGGATTATGAGGTGCCACCAGAATCTGTAAGAGGTATGGATGAGGTAGCTTCTTCAAAACTTCCAGATGGGACCATGAGGATGAGACCTTCTAGAACTGTGAGGATGTTTTGTTTGAAGCCATATTTACACATATTCTGGATAAATACCTGAGAGGTATTCCTGGGTCATACAGTATTTGTATTTTAGATTTTTAAGAATTTCCATACCATCGAGACTGCTCCAATTTACATTCCATCAACAGTAAGAGTTCTTTTCTTTGCTGCATCCTTGCCAACACTTGCTTCCAGGTTCTATTTATAGTGGAATACTTTCACAGGTATAAATTGATAACACATTGAGGTTTGGTTTGCATCTCAGTAATTAGTGAATTGGAGCATTTTTTCATGTGCATGTTAGTAAAGCCTTTGTGAAACGTAGTAAACTTTCACTTCATTTTGTAGTGGTTTCTTTCACTGTACAGAAGCTTTTTAGTTTGACATCATCTAATTAAGTAAGTGCTTTCATTGCCCTTGCTGTTGGAGTTAATTCTCCAAAGACATTTCTGTGGGCCACAGCAAACAGTAAGTTTAATTTAGTTAACAATCTTAAATCATTGATGTCTACTCAATATAGTTTATTATATATTGTGGTGTGAAATTTTGGCAACAGGAATACCTAAGAACATTAAATTTACATAATAGCTTGTAAACTTGCACACACAACTGTAAAAAAATACATACGCGGAAATGCCAAACACATTTACTTTCAGCTAGTTCCTTTGTTTATATACATTAGCCTATTGGCTTCTTTTATAATGAAACCAAAGTGTTTTAACTGTCATTGTATAAATGACAATTTATTCAGCCATGTTCCCTGTTGATGTGCAAATTGGTGAGTTTTGTGCATCCAAATCAGTCCTGCATTAAATACTGATAGTTTATGCCCTATAATTTCTGCTGTTTTACATAAAGGAACATTGAATATGTTATAGGGTAACCCAGTGTGAACTGGGCTACCTGTCTGTAGGTCTTCACCCTTGCGTTTAAAATTTAGTTGTACTGCAGGTGCACACAAAAGGGTCAATAATGGGTTTATTTACAAAAGAGGGAAAGGAACAACCCAGGGAAAGAGAGAGAGAGATACAAGGTAACTAGAATATCTTACCAGCTTGGCTGATTAGGAGCTTTAGTAACAAACTGATAGCCACCAGTCACACCATCCAGAGAGAGCCATTGCCCCAGAGAGAGCCATTGAAAGTTGCTCCCTGTTTATCCCCCAAAGTTCCAGAAAGCCTTCTTAGTTCTACCCTTGGGTCCTCACAGTTCTCTCGGTACTGCTGGGAGTTGTAGTTTCTAATCACTGGAGTAGGGGGTGGAGTCCACAAAACTCTGCAGAGTTCCTTTATGACATCCTTTTCCCTTAACAAATATACATGTTTAAAAATCCAGTATGCATAAAATATACAATTCAGAGTCAGTTAACCTCTTTCTATAGCCTCTCCCATCCCAGAGGTTTTTATCAGTTTCTGGTGAATCAGTACCTGCTTATGAATGTCTTCCAGTATATATACAGTTAGACTCCCTTTGGTTCTTCACCTTCAATTTTAATGAAGTTAATGATATCTTTTGCAAGTTAATGATATCTTTTGCAAGTTTTTCCTCCCATGAGCAAAAGGAAAGCAGTAAACCAAATGTTTGGAGTAACTAAAACCTTCAGAAAACTGACTATTCAATACATTGAAACCAGTACCAATAGGTAGAATTGGACCTACAATAAAAATGTATTAATCGTCACACAGCATTTACTTCTTCAGTATCAATGATAGGCTACTTTTGGACTTTGTATAAAATCACAAAGATGAAAAGTGATTGTATCAGCACTTCCTAAGAGCTTTTCCCTCAGGGACAAGTCCAGACTTGTGCATGTCCAAGCTCAGCACATCATTATTTTCTGTACATACAGTTGAAATGAGTAGGGATAGCTCTGGGCTGCTTGAAAATGCTGCAGTTTGTCAGTTCTCAGTTCTTTTAGATCAATGACTGTTAAGGGGGGACAGTAAGTGAAATTTCTTGTATATTGACCTAACCTAGAATATGTTTGTTTGAAAACTTATCTCAGTGTTTGTAAGATGTTTACTGCTAGCTTCATGCAGACTCTAGAAGGAAAAGTTGAAGGAAATCAGGACAAATCTACTTTAGAAGAAATGCTGAATAACTCTACTTGTAAGGTGGAAGATTGTCTTGTTGAAAAGCCTTCAGTTAATACCAAGCAAGATGACTTGTTTTTCTGAGAGAAAGCAAGCTGATAGCTAATAAGTTAATTAGAACCTAGGCATTTAAAGACCAATATAACTTAATTTTCTGGTAATATCAATACTTGTGTGACACAATTGAAATGGTTACAATACAGATCAGTCCACTATAGGACACCTCTTTAGTCCTTCCAATAGTGGAAATAAATTTTAGTACAGTACCCCAGTTTTCCTTCATTTCCCATTATTTCAAGTCCTTTTAAACTGATTTTTAAAATGAACTAAATTTTTCAAATTAAATCACTATCTTCATGGCTATGAAAATTTATCTTTTTGCAATGGAGCATATATAATTAATTGAGAATAGCATTTTTCAAAATAATTTATTTTTACAAACTGTCTTTTTACTACTTATAAATTATGAGAATTTTAAACCTATTCCCCCTCCAAAAAAGTGTATATTTTGTCTTAAAAACTTGACTGGCAGTGCATTTTTAAGTTTAAAAAATAACCCACAAACATTTCATGTTAGAATATACAAAACTATGACAGAAGTCAGTATCCCTATTATGAATTATTAAAACAAAAAAACCCAACACTTTTTCTTTCAAAGTTCAGTTACTAAATTTACACAGAATTACAGAATAAATAGTAAATGAACACTTGTGTATAATTTTTAATAATAAAAAAATTTTTTCCTCTGATAGTTTGTTTCAGTCTGCCCACACTTTTTTATAAAAGATTTATTTATGCATACAAGAACTGGGTTGTAGGCCAGAGGTGCAGAGGGTGAGTCACCAAAGACGGAGTAGGAAGCAACACAGGTCGAGCTACTGAAATACACGGCTCGGGAGCAGTGGGCAAGATGGGAGAGGTCTGCTGTGCCACGTGGGTCAGCTGCTCCCTGGCTGGGACAACTCATGGGGCAGTGGCTGGGGATAGTTTAATAGAGCTGAGACTTTTTAACTCCTGCACCACCAGGGAGGCCCTACCCACACTTTTTACCAACAAGGCAAAAAGGTTCCAGTTACTTAAAGCTTCAAAAATGGACTATACTTTGAAAAACCCTTAAAACCAGCAGCATTTAAATAGTGGTTAACTCATGAGTGGGATATAACAAGCAGAACCAGCCTTAGTATCACTTGGACATGTCCATCACCAGCCGGAAAGTCCAAGGGGAGACTCCACAGGAGCGGACAGTTCCGAGGGCTCCAAAAGGAGAATGTAGCGTACCGCAGTGCCCAGGTAAGGGGGTCAAAACTGAGCGCACCTCCTACAATCCAAATTCCTATGAGAAGAGCTCTGAAACACCTTAATCCTTTGTGACCCTCTTCTCACTGTTTTAGAGATGGTAGAAAGGCTTTACAAAGAGATGTTTTCAAAAACCTGTACATCAATGCTAATAACAATTAATGCCAATGTGGCAGAAAGAACTAGGAAATACAATTTTTTAAAGGTTTCCTTGTTAATATGTATAAAAATAGGCATCAGTTTGTTTCCCAGAACCAGAATAATCCACACGTGATCTAATCTAGTTTAGCATCTAGTTGGCTACACTGTTTTTAAAATCTGTGATAGTATACTACGAACAGAGGTCATTGTGTGGAATATAAATAAATCCTGTAAAATTCTATTATCTATAAAAGCAGGCCTCTTCAAACATCTAGAATAACAACTATTTACCATTCTAAGGAACAAAGAAACAGGGTGCCTGCTGGACTGTACACTTAAAAATTATTGATGTGGCAAGTTTTATGTGTATTATACCACAATTAAAAACCACCAAAGGATAAAAGAACAACTTTTTGATGATGATACTAAAAAAAGACATATAAGTTAGTACTCAGACTGCATTTTAGTAAGACAATGTTCTCTTTTTGTGTTAGTTCAGTGGTCTGGTTATCAAACTTCTACACCCAAAAACAGAGTGACAAATAAAGCTATAATAACACTTAAAACCACTTTCTGGCTCCCAATGCCACAGGTTTAGAGACTTGTTCACAGAGCTACAGAAACACCAGGGCCTTACAGGAAAATCATTATTATTGTGTATCTATTTAATGGAGTAAGTGGATTATGTACTTGTAAACCAAAAGGAAATTTCTCAAATGTTTGGAAAAAAGGAAAACCCTCTCTACCATAAATTTCTGGGCCATTTTTCTGTCTCACTCAGAATTCTCCTGATGACCCTGGTGGACCCTTAGCACATGTCCATCAAGACCTAGTGCTAGTATGCACAGCACAGCTTGCGAGCCTGGTATCTTCTCAGGTGGCACTGGGAGTTACCAAAGCTACTGGGCATGATACTCATTAGAGGCAGTACTTGGGGTGTTCTTCCACATCACACTCGCCACACCCCATGGCACCTAAAGCAGCAAGGGTGTTCTTTCTCCAGCAGGCTGTTCCTTCTGGAAGAGCTCTTTGATCTGGGTTAACCGACCGTAGAGCCTCTCTCGAAAAGGAGGAATGTGGTAGCTGGGGTCCAGAATGTTGGTCGCTCTGCGTTCCCTTTCTCGCTTCCATAACTTGTATGGGTGGGGAGGAAAAACAGGCTGTCCCCGTTCTCTGCGAATCTGTAATGTAATCCCACTCATAGCCAGCATCCCCCACACTGCCAGCAGAATACAATCTAAAAAAAAAAAAAAAAAAAAAGGAGAAAAGCAAAGTTTGAAAACCTTTGTATTTTAAAGCCTAATGGAGAGCTAACACATAACCCTTCATAGCCTACACCTGTGTCTTCCTTTCTCAGTAATAGACTTTCACGAGTGTTTGCTCCCAAGCCAAAAGAATGAGAGGCCTTAAATTTCAGAATAGGAACATCTCATCATAGGTACCTGGAAGTCCAGACATGTCATTTGGGTCTGTGATGTTCCAATGTTACATGACAAGTGCTTGCAGGCATGAGGTGTTGAGTTTTTCCAGAAGGGGGTGGGAGTTGTTAAGTATAGATAGTCAGGCCTTACAAATGAACACATGTCCTGGAGTATCTGATAATACAAAGCTCTCCTCTTCCCCAGCCCACTCCTTATGGGCCTACCCACTCCTACAGGAGGGCCCAGGAGTATATGAGAGGAGCCAACTATACCAGCTTCAATCAAAAGGCTTGGCAATCAGAAACATGGATTTCAAGGCATCCAGCATCACCCTGGGCCCACACTTCTGAGGGGAAGGCTCAAGGCAGGAGAGGGGAGGACTTGCCCTGAAGTATTCATAACAATACTGCATCTACATTATCAACTCTAAGACATACTTGTCCCTGTATTCCAGCATTTCTGAAAATAACACATCTTGGAATCATGGTCAACTTAGTTATCTTTTTCTTCCTTCAAAAAATTGCCCAAAAAATGTAAAATCTTTAATGGTAGAATCTCACAATTGAGAAAACAAAACATTCACTTGATTGAAGGCTACCCTCCCTTTCAGTTAACAAAGCACATGCTTCATTAAAGAAGGAAAAAGGAATAATTTTAAAAGACATTCTCATCCCTCATGTCACTCTCAACCATAGGATGCCAAACAGTTTTAATTTCAACGTTTTTCTCACAACTGGGAATTAACCAGGTAAGCTAAGTTTAGAAATTTCTTAACAAACTTCATATAGTAGATGTTTACAATTGTGAACTACTGCTGGAGTGGCTTGTTGCAGACCACAGGCCCAGCTCTGACTTCCAGAAACCACTCAGACTGGACAGTGCCCTCAGTGCCCTGGTCTGAACTGTGTCTCCTGTCCCCCATCTCCCACTGCCCCCTTCCTGAGGAGGCTGCTCGGAAACAGCCATCCTGAAAGTCTTTAAAATTTGGGAATGATGCACACAGGCTCCCTTGGAGCAGCTGCAGAATGGCCCCATGCCCCAGAGTTGGGGGGATGCCTTCCCCACCTCAGCAGCAGCAGGCTTCTGCTCTCCCTGCTGCCTCCTGCAGCTGCAACTCCACCTCTTGCCATCAACCTAGTAACAGCCTTCTCACTCCACAGTTAGAATATTGTTTTTTCCTTTTTCTGCACCAAAGACCTTTTTGTTTTTATTTGTAGCAGCAGGGGACTGGATCCAGAAACAATGAGAGAGGTTCTGCCCAAGTGATGAATTATTTTGGACCCACCATTACCTTACTCAAGTGTAAACTCTATTCCTATGATCACAAGGACCCATTAGCAGAGGGCTATAATGGCATCTGTCTGGAGAACATCCTCTACAGTGACCCAGTGCCAGAGTTAGCACAAGGTCAAACTTCACCCGACTCCCACTCTGGTTCTGAGTCTTACCATTGGTTTGAAAAGGCACATTTGTAAAAGCTTTGTTGAAATCCGGGTGGAGAGCTCTCCTGAGCACGTTCAAAGTAATGTAAGAAAAGCTGGTGTACATGTAACTGTCAAAGGCCAAGATCACCGAATGGGAACCGATGAGTCCACAGGCCAGTATGTTCAGCTGTGGAGAGTGAAGAGTTCAGGCATCATTTCTGGTGGACAACAATTTCTCACTCTCACTCTGGCCTCGATCACCCCAGCGATCACTTCCGACCCCTCTGGGCGTACAGAAGAGGAACATGGCTGAGGGTAAACAACAACGCTTACCTGAGAAGATTAACTGAGAAACACTGCCGGCGGTCCTAGTGACTTCTGAAAACAGTTTGCCTTATAAAAATGTCACAGATAGTGCCTTCATTGTGAAAGAACTCTTAAGAATAAAGTCTAATAACTCGAAGAACCATTTTTCTGGAGAGGTCTGGAATTACTGCTCCCTCAGGAGGCAGCATCACAGTAAGCAGCCCCCTTCCCTGCACAGGGACACTGACAACCTGCCACTGTTGGGTAATGTAATGCAAATTCCTCTTGTTTTCATAATGGGCTTTTTAGAGTCAGTCATTGAATAAAACTTGTAATGAGTGATCTACTGAAAGGCCAGGGCAAAAGAATTAATAAACTTAAATGAGCTGAAAGAACACTTACGACTCTTAGGCAACCCATAAAAACTACAGGAATGAGGACAGCTATACAAGAGAAAGTCACCCAGAACACACTGTCATCACGAAAAATCTTCAGGTTTCCTGAAAAGGCAAAAAAGAAATCTAGAGTAAACAGCAGATTTACAAAATTAAGTTTCACTTTCTTGAGATCTGAACACAGACACACTTCTAGGGCTTAAGGGAACAACCTTTAAGGGACTATACTGGTAAACAGAATGAATTTTCACTTTTTTCTCCTGTCGATACAATCCCCTTCAATGGTGTGTCATAAAAGTTAGCGGGGCTGGGAGGGAAATCGAAGCTTGGCATTTATTCCCAAGATAATTTGGAAGAGACTTGACTCGTCCAGATGCTTCCACTCATTCACTAGCTCCGTAGCCCTGGGTTGAGATTTTTCATCAATGAGATGAAACCATAACCTTGCCCTTTCTAGATCTAGATATCCGTAATTCTATAATTTTGTATTGTAAAGGGAGAAAAAAAAAAGTAAATTGCATTCACAGTTAACCTATGAACTCTCACCAATATAAACAGCGAGATTCATCCAGTAAATGTTCACATGCAGCCCCTCCCTGCCCACAGCGGGACAGGACTGCCTCCTGCATCAGGACAGAAGTAAAACACTTATGTGATCACACCAAACCCAGCTGCTGCTGGACACTCAAGTGTGGCACTTTCTGGAGTGACCCAGGACAAAAATATCAGAACTCCAATTTATAAACTGAGTTTAAACAGCAAGAATGTAAGCCTGACATTTAATACTGGCACCATCATTCAGCCCGCTAGCTTAAGACCCTTAAATCCTGGACCCAGTGGGAGGTCTGTAGACAGAGGACCTACTGAATGGCCCCATTTTCTCAGAATGTGATTACAACAGGTTGCAGGTTGGGGTTTATGGAGCAAATGCTCTAGCTTTAACTATATTGTCACAAAATAATGGTTTTAAAAATATATGACTTTCAAGGAATTCAGGGATTGGAAGTAGTTACAATGCAGGCATGGGAGAGGACCCTCTTAGGGTATAACCTTGCCAGGCACATAATGAGTAAGCAGACTTATTTAATTGTATTGAAGATCAGTCAGCTATTTTTCATATTTTGCTGCTTAAAAACAAGGATTTGCACCTACCATTCTTCAGGAGACACTCACCCTGACTGTCCTGAATATAGTATTAAAGATAATGCAAACTGGAGGCACTTGTGCTAAACGCACAAAGTAGGAACACCCCACCTAGCCGCAGCTTCAGCCCCATTGGTTTCAGCCTCCTCCGGAAATGCAATCCAACTGGTCAGCACAAACTAAGTCATCTTTTCCACTCCCCCAAGGCAGTAACATGCCCTAAGAGCCTTCTCTATCCCCCACGTGGAGGCCAACTTGCTGGAAGGAATTCCCCTTTTCCTTCCTTTGCCCTTCTACCTACAAAGACCTTTCTACTTCCTAAATTGGGAGGGTGGCTGGATTTATAAATAGCTTCGTAAAAACCAATTTTATCTCTAACTAACTCAACTGGATTTTTGTTAACATTAAGCAAATGGACACACAAAGCGTGTCTATTAAGTTACTCTTACCAAAAAGGAGTAGTGTGCCGCATTTAGACAACTGGTCTAGGCTTTTAAGAAGGTGGAAATTAAGAAGCCTTTCCCTTTATCTCTTTTTCTCCTGCCTTCTACCCTCTGAATGTTTTACAGGTGATGAAAAAGCTCCAGTGCTTTTTCTGAGTGGTAAGCAAATGAGGGTACTAGTGAAAGAGCCAGAATACACATGGCTGTTTATTTTTTGTCTGACTTGATAATTTATGCACATTCTATTCATCAAAGGCACCTTTGTGAAAAATTCTAACTGATCATCCTTCTATCCTCCAAGTATTAACATGAAGAGAGGAGCTTGTTAAGAAACATCTGACGGGTCCTCCCTGTTGGCGCAGCGGGTTAAAGCACAGCACTAAGAAGCTTAAGCCACTTCTGCATGAGTTCAATTCCTGCCTGCCCCGGAGGAGCTCCACAAGGCAGGCAGACCTCTCCTGACCCGCCCGCTGCTCCCCTCAGCAGTATACCTCGGTCTTCCTGTTCTGTTCCCCTCTCTGTCTCTGGTGAATCCTCTCACCTCCACATCTCTAGCCTGTACCCCAGCTCTATATGAATAAATAAATAAATCTTTGAAAAAAAAATTAAAAAAAAAAAAAAGAAAGAAACATCTGACTTAGCGTCTCTAGACTAAGACTCCCAGGTCTGCATTTTCAACACATGTGCCATGTCATAACATGACTTGGCAACCCCAGGGTGAGTGGGACCCAGGTTGGTCATAGCTTTACTGAAGTCAGAGGATAGGTCTGGGCATGGTTGGTAAACAACAAGCAATCCTCTGGTCTCAAATTTTTAGCATCAATGACTGTGATATCCTGCATGCTCTGGCACCAACAGGCTCTTTGGTGTCTATTTAATCTAGTAGTCTAATTTAAGAATCAAACAATATCACTACAAGACCTCAGAAGAGTACCCTGAAATGTAGATACTCTTTTTTTTTTTTTCATTTCTGTCAACAACCAGCAAGTTAGCAAGTTAACTGCACAAGAGCAAAGCAAGTTAACCAAGACCAGAATTGCTTTCTAAAGCATCCCCAGAAGCACCCCTGGCTAAGGATGACTACTGTAGGTACTTCGGGACATGGGTGCTCCAGAAAGGCTGGGAGTAGAAATGAGAAGCAGATGACAGGAACAAAGCAGAGGTCCCCCAGCTCTGCTGCCATCACAGGAGACCAGAATTATCTGTGGGATGTAATAACTTTCCCCTCAAGATCCACCTGAACACAAAGCTAATGAGATTCTGCCATATAGCAGGAATCCCCTTTCCTTCCATCAGTTCTTACACACACACACACACACACACACACACACACACACACACACACACACCTTATCACAACAAACAACAGAAAGCTACCTCTAAAGATAGTCTGTCATTCATCCAGTACTAGGGGCCTCTGAGGACAGAGAGACTCATCTTCATGACCCTGCCTACCAGTGCACAGCTGTACAGAGGGCAGGGACACTGTCCCACCCCACCATCTAAACCCTTGATGCGGCAGCCCTGACACCTAGAGAGCCCAAACAAGGTCTTTTTTAAACACCAAACCCAGCACACAAATGAGTAGCCCTACCCAGTGGAGTGAAGAGGATCACCGAGGACGTCAGGAAGCCCAGCACTAGCCCCACACACAGCATGCAAGGCAGGAGGATGCCAAAACGCCACCAGGAAGCCACCAGGCAAATTCCACCAATGCTGCCAGCCACCGCCGTCAGGATCAGACGAACTGCACGGGGGAGAAGAGAAGGTGTCCCGTCACAGGGGCAGCCAGAGATAGCACAGTGAACACAGACCGCCAGGCCTCCCTTCTGGCCAGGCACAGTGACGGGAAACTGCTAGAGAGCATACCCTCCAAGGAGGGGCCATGTCTGGCTCCCATAGAGCCAAGAAACCCTCCCTGGACTAGTGAAGGCATAACTTGAGGAAGGGAGCAAAGGTCTGCAAGCCCAAAACTAATCTGGTAAAGGAAAATTTCAGGGAGGAAGTCTGGAGGTTGGCAGAGGCTACTTTTGAGGCTTAAAGTTGCTTTGGAAGAGTCTAAACCAAGAAGGCCAAATCCTTGACCCTTCACCCAGCAAAAGGCAGGAACCTTTGTTTCCTCCAGTACACACTGAGTGATTTCCCCCTCCTCTCTCACCTCCCCAGTTTCAGCCAAGCTAGTTGAGATAGCCTGTAAAGCCACGTGGGGAGGGACTCATTCCGCTGAGTACCCTGTGTCTACAAGAGGCCTCTTACTATTAAACATCTGGGTGGCTTTTTCTCTTATCAATCTGTCTGAGGGTATGGGTTAAGGATGATTTTCTTTGCTTCCTGACACTTGGCAGGAACTCTAAACTGGGAAGGAGGAAGAAGTAACAGCATCCTGTTAAAAGTGGCAAAGTAGCAACTGGTTTAAAGGTAAAGAAAAATCTTAACTTTTCATTGTTGTAAGTGTACTATCTTCAGTCTATCACCTACGGGAAAGCAGGCTGATCATCAAAGTGGCATCTCATTTCCCTAAGCACCAAGCAACTCACATTGTGATGTCAAATCCACAGAAGAACTTGTTACCCAGAAGGCTTACAAAGCAAACCTACATCACCAAGAAAGACCCTGAGAGCCAGTTCAGAGTTATTTCATTAAGAATCAGCCTCTTGGCCCTCCCTGGTGGCGCAGCTGGTTAAAGCACAGCACTGAGAAGCTAAAGCCACTTCCGCATGAGTTCGATTCCCGCCTGCCCCGGAGGTGACCACATGGCGAGGCAGACCTCTCCTGACCCGCCCGCTGCTCCCCTCAGCAGTGTACTTCATAGATCTGCCTGTTCTGCTCCCTACTCTGTCTCTGGTGAATCCTCTGACCCTCCGCATCTCTGGCCTGTACCCCAGTTCTGTATGTACAAATAAATACATCTTAAAAAAAAAAAAAGAATCAGCCTCTTAATACAGCCAACATGAAGAGAGAGGATGCCCCCAAAGCTAACCATACCTCCAGTCCAGGAACACCACTGACATATTAAAGTCCCCACCATATGCATGCTTGGCCAACAGTTATTGAATGTAAGACCCATGCAGAGGCATGATGTCATGTTAGGTAGAAAAGTTGTGAGAAACTCCATGATGAACATGTGCTCAAGCTGAAGCTGACCAAGCCATTGTAAAGGAGAATGCAGCACCTTCTGCTCTGGAGATTTGAGGCAGGTCATATACCCACACACTGATAGTGACTGCCCCTGTCTCTGGAAGGAAACCCTCCATAATACTCTAGATGAAATCAAGTTCTCACCACTAACAAACACTCTAAGTAAATTATTCTCTGGGCTAATGTTATAGGACCCATCATGTCACAGCAAGAGGTCACAGGCACAAGCTCAGACTTTAGAGATGGAATGACCTCATGGGAAGAATCAAAAAAGGACCCAGCTCCTTCAAACTGTTTAACTAGAGCCTCCACCCTCTTCTCAGGGAGGAGCTCGCAGACCCTCCCTGACGCTGATTCCCATATGCTGAGTTGCACAAGCTTGAGTAAGTCCTTGTCTGGTCCATGCCACATTAGAATTGTCGTTATTTCCATGTCTTGAAGAACTCGAGAGCCAGAATCCGATGATAATCTAACCATGAAGCTATATTGACCTGGAATGGCCAATTTTCATGAAATCCCAAGACTCCAATCAAACCTAACTTCCTTTAAGGAAGGACAGTACTGTGGGAAAGATGCCTTCATCTCTTATTCAAGTAATGAAATACTCTATCAACTTGGCCTGGTCATCGGGCTAGTGCTCAGCAAACAACACGAACAATCTGAATAAGCAGTTTAGAAAAGGTGCTTAGTTCACAGGTAGCCTGTTATTCTGCCACGTGACAGGATATCACGAGATTGCAGTTGGAGAGAAAAAAGATGCACATTCCCTTCTGAACACTCAAACCTCTTGTTTCCACTTACCATCATAGTCAATAGGAGTCAGTCTTGTAATCAGGATATAAAAGAAGAATCCCACGATGATAAAGCCCATGAAGAATAATTCTAGCAGCAAACCACCCGGGAACAGGCATGAAGCAACACAAGCTACAGTTAGATATTTGTTTTTATAATACAATTTAAACAGTTAATCTTCGAATATTTGCTTTAGCTCACACATTTACACATTAGGGTATTCGACTAAATATCTAAAAGGATACAGTATTAAAGGAATAATAGACTATACATTTTATTGTATATAAGTGAACTTCAATTGTTAAATTCATTATTAACTTCAAAAATCAATACATTTAGTCTTCCTACTTAAAAGAAGACTATTACTTTGTCACTGCATGTGAGTTGAAATTACATACTAAATTTCAATTGGCTAGAATAAAACAACATTTGAACATGTATCAAGACTGAAGAAGGCTTTTGCAAGACAGAATGTTGCAAAGATATCAGAATGCAATTCAAGTGTTTTCAACTGAACTGTATTTCCACTACTGTATTCATTTCTTAAAAATCCACAGAACTTTAAGATAAAATATATACACACACACAAATACACACAAATATATAAATATATGTATAATACTACAACGCATATATATGTGTGTATGTGTGTATATATAAACTCATGGGTGTGTGCTTATAAAAAATATTCCAAAACAAAATCCTTTTTCTGTTTGGGATAAACGATCACCATTGTCTTCATCCACTGCCCACAGTCTAGCAATTAAGTCCTTTATTATAAAATCATCCTAGAGTTTGAGGAATTAAATATTCTTCAATAAACCAATAAATTAAATATTAAATATTCTTGGTTAAATTTAATTCAAGTGTTTTAATTGAGTTGTATTTCCACTAGTGTATTCATTTCTTAAAATGAATTAAATATTCTTCTCAACGAACCAAGAAAAAAAAAAAGAGTAGCAATGGAGGGAACGAGGGAAAGAACCTTGCTGTTCCAATTTACTGAAGCAAGTTTATAGGGTTTGGTGAGATCAGGATTAGTTCACTCTCCCTTGATGCTTCTGGTTATGAAATAAAAAGTATATATTTAGTAGTTGCAAACATTAACTATCTAAAAGCAGCTCAAACAAGTCAAATAAATTCAGAGAGCATAATTTATTGTCTACTCCTGACTGAGTTCCATACAGTGGGACTGTGAGTTCCTGACTGATGTGGGAACTCCTAGGATGGAGCAGACATTTCAAGCTGCTTGTACAGACATCTACAGCCTGGGTCAACCAGCAATACATATCGCAATTATGAATTTGCTGCACCTACCTAATTTTACTCCCCTTTAATAAAGTAGTTTACCCTCCACTATGGAGAAAAGAGAAAAAAAATAAATGCAGAGACTCAGTAAAATCTTTACTGAAAGAACCTAAACACAAATCTATAAAAAGAATGGAAAAGCAATTGCTACTCTCCTTACAGGTAAGAAGTGCCCCAGCAGCATATAAGAAGACCACAAGGTACATGAACAGCAGCCACCCCTGACATATTACCTGTTTTCCAGAATCTGTGTCCAAAAAAACAAATGAAGAGACCAAGCAGGCCAAGAAGAGTGAAGAATACTTTGGTAGACACTCTTCCTAAAAATAACGAAAAGACAATGAATAATACATCCAGCTTGATGCTTGTATTTAATACAGAACATTACGTGACAAATGTGAAGTGAAATGACTGGTTTGTTCCACGCATGCACATCACAAATTTACTTTTAAAACACCCTGGCCGATATGAATAAGAAAATCAATGGCTGCTGCCGTAGCAAAAACAGAAAGCAGAGAGTATGTGCTTCCTGAGAGAGATAAGAAGCTACGCTGTGATGGGTACTTGGGAGAGGAAGTGGGAAAGAGGAGCCCATGTGTATCTAAAACTTTGTTTCTTCACAGAATATTCTGCAAGAAAAAAAGAGAGCAAAGAGAGGAGGAACTATGGATTAAGAGATTTTACCAAATAAAACAGATTTCAGAGACACACCAACTAAAAACATATATACAAACCTCATCTGAAGCCTGGTTGAAACCAAAAGAGAAGGAAAAACAATTGGGATTATGACAGGGCAGTGTAAGACTGGATGTTAATGTCATGTTAGTAAGAAATGTTAGTATTTTTAATTGAAATCTGTGTTAATAACACCACAGTTATATTTTTTTAAAGATTTATTTTACTTATTTATGCATACAAGAACTAAGGTCTAGGCCAGAGGTACAGGGTGAAGGGGAGGGAGTGAGAGGATTCACCAGAGACTGAGTGGGGCACAGAACAGGCAGATGTGCTGGAATACACTGCTGAGGAGAGCAGCGGGCGAGACAGGAGAAGTCTGCTGTGCTATTTGGGTCAAGCCCCTTGCCAGGGACCAAACTCAGGTTGCAGTGGCTAGTGACAGCTTGATAGCCCTGACTTTAACCCCTATGCCAGGGAGGCCCTGGTTGTATTTTTTTTTAACAGGTTTCTCTTTAAAGATATATATACTGAGGCCCTCCCTGGTGGCGCAGCTGGTTAAAGCACAGCACTAAGAAGCTTAGGCCACTTCCGCATGAGTTCGATTCCCACCTGCCCCGGAGGAGATCCACATGGTGTGGCAGACCTCTCCTGACCTGCCTGCTGCTCCCCTTGGCAGTGTACTAAGTCGATCTGCCTGTTCTGCTCCCCGCTCTGTTTCTGGTGAATCCTCTTGCCTACCCTGCACCTCTGGCCTTTACCCCAATTCTGTATGCATAACTAAATAGCTAAAAAAAAAAAAAAAGAATACAATGAAAAAGGAGGGTAGGGAGGTTGAGAACTGCTGGGTATATGTTTGAGACAAGACAATGGCTATGAATCAATATTAAGGCTGGATAATTGGTATATGGAGGATCAGTAAAGTTTTCATGATAAAAACACACACACATTAAATTAAGAGAGTATGTACTATACTATAAATCACACATGAACAAATTACTATATATCTTATCCATTATATGTATTGCTGTGGGGAAAGTACATGTTATAATGAACAATGAAGTACAATATACCTCATGAAATCAAAGAATCCAAATTCTGTGTTTTGGCACAAACCTAAATATATAGAGATAGGCTTTTTGAAGAGAAAAATATACTCAATGAATTCACTACCACATGACTGATGTGAGATAAACAAAAAATAATAAAGGAACTAAAACCAAAAACCAATGTAATTTCATGTGAAAAGTAATAAATTGATTCATCTAAACACATAAATCACTTCTGCTCTCAGATGAAGAGTCCAGGAAGACCTGCCTTTCAGTAAGGAATACAGACTAGAAGGCCAGAATGTGCGAGGTATAATACAGGCCAACATTTCAATGCCTGTGAGAAGAGGAGCCCAACAGAGAGATGAAGCCAAGATAAAATGCCACTTTCTGCTGAGCACAGGCCTGTTGATCGTTTGCTGTTCCATAATAACTACTTCAAAAGATCAAGTAGAAACTTTTAATAACAAGCACCATCACAGAGAGCAAGGTGACCCAACCTGATACAAAGTGACACGTGCAAGTCCCCATGGGCAGGACATGTCCCTGCACAGAAGAACCACATAGAATGCCCTACCTAGGAATTAGGAAGGAAGGGGAGAAAACCATTTGCAGGGAATACCAGAGACTAGAGCAGCTTCCACGTGAAGCATAACAGAGAGACAAAACAGGCAGTAACTTTGGGGGGTGGGGGGGTAACAGTGAAGACAAAGGGGAGAATGAAAGACAGCAGGAGAAACTGTTCCAGGAAGACATGGGGGAGTGGGGTCAGATATTTCCTCTGTAAATTTTCACTGTCTCAGTGCTGAAACAGGTACTGCTTGTTCCAAAGGCGTTGGCTGAATGAATGAATTTAGACTGAACTAAAGTATAGTTTAATATTCTTAAATTCCGTATTAGTTGATGTAGGTCTGCAAAGCAGAAGAACTTTTCAAAGTTCAAATCTACATACTCACCAAGGGAAGAACAGTTCCCCTCTGAAGTCACAAAACTGCAGGCATATGTGTGCACAGGAACATAAGCAGCAGATGTATTTAGAAGTGGGTCCCAGACTATGACATTATAAATAACACCTTGGGCCCACAGGGAGGAGAAGGAAACACTTGTCTTGTCATTAGCTGTTAGCGTAGCCACCTGAAGCCAAAAATATTGCATGATTAGTGTTTAGATTTTAAAACACAAGTATGCTATTCTATCATAATCCCACCTCCATAAATCTTAAATTGTAATACTCAATTTTAATTCTTATTTAAAAGATACACCAACCCAATTGCCTTTAACAAAGAATCATCCTACAGCTTATATGTGCAACAAGCTCTTACACAAATTGCTTCTAAAGTTCTTTGTAAGTATTAAATATTAATAACTGAAATAATTGTTAAAAATAATGTGTAAAGACTAGTTAGGATGAAATGAAACATCTTTTCCTGCTAGATGAGGGAGATACAATACTTATCCTGATTACTAGTTTTCTGATATTTAGCACCATGCCCATCCCAGAATAGACGGTCAACAAGTATAAGCTATTACTAATAGCTAGACAGCTAGCTGACAAAGTTTGGGACATCTATAGAGTAGCTGCACATTTTGTCTTATTTAGAAAATAAGAAAACATGTAGGTGTAGTGTACAACAGTCCTAACTTCAAAAACCTCCTCTTCCAAGCTGTTTTTTAGATGGCTAATACATACAACAGAACAAAAAAGACTTCTATAACCCTAATACAGAGCTATGTTCCTACTAACAGACAATTCAATTAATTATTAGCATTTTAAGAGTAAAGAAGTGCAAGCCTCTTCTATCATCTAAAAGTACATTACTTAGTCTTCAAAAATGTTTTCCATACAAAGGATTGACCGCAAGTTCAATAAGATACGAACATCATCACCTATTCTCCCAAGTTTGCATGCCCAGTCAAGCTTACAAAAATGCCAAAAGAAAAATACAAGTAAACTAAATTCCCCCTGGAGATTTAACAATAGTAAATGTTTTACTTGTTTTTCTGGCCTTCCTCATTTTAATTCCCATCTGTTTTTTCATGATGAAACTTTTTTTTTTTTTAAAGATTTA